CAATCTACTTCGGTAGAGATACCACCTTGGGAATCCAAGGAGGGGTCGTTATGGGTTGAAATCAACTCAACAGCAGTAAGTTTGTTTTGTTTTTGTTTATATTCAGGCAATGGAATGTTACACAGTATTGCAAATAAACAAACTACTGTACATGAAACAACTTGAATGACTTTCACAAGCATTGTTGAATTAAAGAAGCTAGATACAAAATATATATCCTATGATTCCACTCATGTGAAGTTCAAACAATGGGAAAAACTAAAGTATAGTATTTGCAATACATTCTTAAAGAAAAATAAGAAAGTGGTTTCATAAAATTCAGAATAGTGGTTACCTTTTGGAGGTTAGTGATGGGAATGGTACAGGTATCTCCCTAACATTTATTGAGCACTTATTTTGTGTTTGAGCCATGCCCCATCACAAATGGGGGTCCCAAAAGCTTTGCTTCATCCATGTCATTAAGGTCGACTCTACTTTGAGGAGGCAGCTCTTCCCCATTCATATTTTGAGTGCATTCTGACTGGAGGGGCTCATCTTCTGGCACTATGACAGACAATATTTCAGGGCTATTCATAGTTTTTCAGTAATATATCAGACAGTGCTTCATTGCTATTCATAAAGTTTTCACTAACCTATTCTTTGAGAAGTGAATGAGACTTCTTCCCAGTCTGTCTTAGTCTGGAAGCTCTGCTGAAACCTGTCCAACATGGTGACCCTGCTGGTCTTTGAAATACTGGTGACATAACCTCCAGCCTCACAGCAACACACAAGCCACCACAGTATGACATTTGCTGATGGGGCACAACTCAAAATGGGAAGACACAGCTGCAAACATCTGTTAATTGTTTGAATGTGGAACGTATGAAGTATGAATGTAGGAAAATGGGAAGTTGTCATAAATCAAATGGAACACATAAGGATTGGTATCCTAGGTATTAGTGAGGTGAAATTGACTGGTTTTGGCCATTTTGCATCAGACAATCATATGGTCTACTATGCCAGGAATGACAAATTGAAGAGGATTGTGATAGTTGGAACTGTGTGTCAACTTGGCTGGACCACAATTCTTTGTGGTTTCAGCAGTTGTGATGTGGTTATTCCCATGATGGGATCAGATGATTATGTTTGGGGCAGGCAATCTGTTGAAAGGGAGTTTCCCTAGGGGTGTGGCCTGCTTCCAGTGTATCTGTAGACATCCTGGGAAAAGAGACATTCTTCTGTGGATCGGGATTCTGTTGTGCTGCCTACAACTGTCTGTGAGTGAACAATCCACCATTCAGCCTGGAGATCTTGGATTCATCATTCGTTGGAGTCAACAGCCGGTGTACTGCCTGCCAGCTTTGAGCTCCTCAGCCCCTGTGGCTGCAAGAGTCGGAAAAAGCTTCTAGCTTGATGTGGAAAAGCCTCCAGCTTGATGTTTGTTCCAGGAACTTTGGACTTGCCAGCTTCTATAAGTGTGTGAGCCATTTTCCTAAGATAAACTTCTCTATATGTACATATATATAAGCTTTACTTGTTTTGTTTTCCTAGAGAACTCAGTCTAACACAAGGATTGACATTGCATTCATCATTACAAAGAATGTTTCAAGATCTATCCTGAAGTACAGTGTTGTCAGTGATAGGACAATATTTATATGCCTAAAAGGAAGACCATTTAATACTACTACTATTCAAATTTACACACCAACCACTAAAGCCAAAGACAAGGATATTGAAGGTTTTAAACAACTTCTGCAGTCTGAAATTGACCAAACATGATGTATTAATTATTATTGGTGATTAGAATGTGAAAATTGAAAACAAAGAAGTATCACCAATAGTTGGAAGATATGGCTTTGGTGATAGAAATGATGCTGAAGATTGCATGATGGAATTTTGCAAGATCAATGACTTCTTCATTACGAATACCTTTTTTCAACAACATAAACTGCAGCTCTATACTTGGACCTCACCAGTTGAAATACACAGGAATTAGATTGACTACATCTATGGAAAGAGGTGATAGAGAAGCTCAATATCTTCAGCAAAAACAAGTCCAGGAGCTGACTGTGCAGACCATCAATTGCTCATATGCAAATTCAGATTGAAGCTGAAGATTAAAAGAAGTCCCCAAGAGCCAAAATATTACCTTGATTTTATCCCACCTGAATTTAGAGACCATCTGAAGAATACATTTGACACATTGAACACCAATGACTGAAAATCAGGCAAATAGTGGGATGACATCCAGAAAATCATACATGAAGAAAGCAAATGGTTATTAAAAAGACAGGAAAGGAAGAAAAGACCAAAATGGATGTCAGAAGAGACTCTGAAACTTGCTCTTGAACAGAGAGTAGCTAACACAAATAGAAGAAATGACAAGATAAATAAGCTGAACAGAAGAAGGGAGCCTCGAGAGGATAAGATCATTTATTATATGAAATGTGCAAAGACCTGGAGTTAGAAAACCAAAAGGGAAGACCGCACTCAGCATTTCTCAAGCTGAAAGAACTGAAGAAAAAATTCAAGCCATAAGTTGCAATATTGAAAGAATCTATGGGTAAAATATTGAATGATGCAGGAAGCATCAAAAGAAGATGGAAGGGATATACAGAGTCACTGTGCAAAAAATATGGTCAGTGTTCAGCTATTTCAGGAGTTGGAGGTAGCATATGATCAAGAACCAACAGTATTGAAGGAAGAAGTTGAAGCTGCATGGAATTGGCAAATAAAATAAAATAAAAAACAAGGCTCCAGGCATTGACGGAATACCCACTGAGATGTTTCAGCAAATGGATGCTGTGCTGTAGGCACTTACTTGTCTATGCCAAGAAATTTGGAAGACAGCTATACCTAGCCAACTGACTAGAAGAGATCCATATTTGTACCCATTCCAAAGAAAGGCGATCCAACAGAATGTGGAAATTATCTAACAATATCATTAATATCACAAGTAATTAAAATCTTGCTGAAGATAATTAAAAAACAGTTGCAGCAGTATATTGACAGAGAACTTCCAGAAATGCAAGCTGGATTCACAAGAGGATGTGGAACAAGAGATATCATTGCTGATGTCAGATGGATCTTGGCTGAAAGCAAAGAATACCAGAAAGATGTTTACTTGTGTTTTATTGACTATGCGAAAGCATTAGATTGTGTGGATCTTAACAAATTATGGATAATGTTGAGAAGAATGGGAATTCTAGCACTTAATTGTGCTCATGAGGAACCTGTACATAGACCAAGAGGCTGTTGTTCGAACAGAACAAGGGGATACTGCATGGTTTAAAATCAGGATGGGCGTGCAACAGGGTTGTATCCTTTCACCATACTTATTCAGTCTGTATGCTGAGCAAATAATCCACAAAGCTGAATTATATGAAAAAGAATGTGGCACCAGGATTGGAAGAAGATTCATTAACAACCTGTGATATGCAGGTGACACAACCTTGCTTGCTGAAAGTGAAGATCATTTGAATCACTTACTGATGAAGATTAAAGACTACAGTCTACAGTATGATTACACCTCAGCATAAAGAAAACAGAAATCCTCACAACTGGACCAATAAGTAGTATCATGACTAATGGAGAAAAGGTTGAAGTTTTCAAAAATTTCATTTTACTTGGATCCACAATCAACACTCATGGAAGCAGCAATCAAGAAATCAGATGTCATATTCCACTGGGAAAATCTGCTGCAAAAGACCTCTTTAAAGTGTTGAAGAGCAAAGATGTCACTTTGAAGACAAAGGTGTACCTAATCTACACCATGGTATTTTCAGTTGCTTCATATGCCTGTGAAAGCTGGACAGTGAATAAGGAAGACCGAAGAAGAGTTGATGCTTTTGAGTTGTGGTGTTGGCAAAGGATACTGAAAGTACCATGGACTGCCAGAAGAACAAACAAATCCATCCTGGAAGAAGTACAGCCAGAATGCTCCTTGGAAGTGAGAATGGCCAGACTTTGTCAGACCTACTTTGATCATGTTGTCAGAAGGGACCATTTCCTGGAGAAGGATATCATGATTGGTAAAGTGGAGGGTCAGTGAAGAAGGGGAAAGACCCTCAACGAGATGGATTGACACAATGGTTTTAACGACGGGCTCAAGTATAGTAAGGATTGTGAGAATAGCACATGGCCGGGCAGTATTTCATTCTTTTGTTTGTAGGGTCACTGTGAGTCAGAGCTGACTTGACAGCATTTAACAACAATAGCATGTTTTGTGTTGGGTACTATTCCAAGTGTTTTTCAAGTTATAACTAACTTAATTCCATTTTAGAAATGAAGAAGCAGGTGTGAAGAGCAAAAAGGTAGGTTGCCTGAAGTCAATCAGTAGTGGGAGGCAGGATTGGGCCTAGAACCCACCCTGCTCACCAGTGTGCTCAGAGCCCTCTGGGCTTCTTTGTTATGGGGGTAGGAACCCACCCATCCAGAGGAGCAGATCAACTAAAGAGTGAAAGTACTTTTCTGCCTCTTTGTTTCCAGTGAACAGGCATAATTGTTAATATTTTAAAGGAAGATGTGAGGAAGGCCTTCACTTTCTCTCTGACCTCTCCCACAGACACCTTCAAAGCAGGCATCTTCCTGGTTCCAGGGCCCCTGCAGTGCACCCTTGAGCCCTTGTCCCAGGTCTGACTGCATTCATCAAGATGGGAACTCCAGGAGCAGCTCTTGTCTGCTTTGTTCCTAAGGCCTGGAACAGGTCCTGGCTCACTGTGGGCACTAACGAGGCATTTACTGTAGTTGTAGTGCCCTGACTGTGTGTCTTTGGTGTGTTGCAGCAGGTTACTGAGGAAAAGGAAGAAAGCAAGGCCTGGCCAGCAGGCTCTGGGTCTCCTTACCCTCCCCACTGCCTTGATTGACTTAGAGTTGGCAGAGGCCTTTGGTGGGAGAATTCTCATGTCTGCTCCTGCCCTCCATCAAACTCACTGCCCCAACTCTGTGGGATACACCCTGATATCTACCCTGCACCTCCCCAGTGTTTCTCCACATGCTGACCCTACCTTGTCCTTCCCAAGGGCCACAGATTGTGCTCAGTGTGTACGGACCAGACGTGTTCGGAAATGATGTGGTCCGGGGCTATGGGGTGGTGCATGTGCCCTTCTCAACTGGTCGGTAAGTCTTTACTCCCCAGACCACAGCCTTCTTCTCACTTGGTCATCCTGCCTTGAGATAGGGTCCCTTAGCAGGGCTTGTCCAGAGACAGACAGAGCCCTCAGGGATCTCTGGGGGCTTGGCAGCCCAGCCTGAGGAGGTGCTGCTGGAGGGAGCAGCCCACATCTGGACAGAGACCTTGGGGGGAGGTGTAAGGCTCTTGCTGCATTCCACACTCGAGGTGGGATGGACAGGTAATATCAGAGTACCCCACAGGGAACATCAGGATTCCTAAGAGGAGGCTGGATCCAGAAACAGAGTTTCCCAGCAGTTAATTACTTCCTTCATTTACTCCCTTACCCCCTGGTCTGTGAGCCATCACCGGTATAAGTATGTCAAGACACAGTGCTGCATACAGAAGCCCCCAGAGCAATGGAGAAAAACAGGGAGACATCTTTTTTTTGACAAGCATAATAACAGATTATAGACATGGAGTATCCTGGGGCCCAGAGGAAGGGCTGATCATCTGGCCTTAAAAGATGGGGTGTATGTCCAGAGGAGGGGGTGAAGAAGAGGGGACAGTGGTGTGTTGGGAGCTTAGAGGAGTATTGTTACTGAAATAGGAATTGCAGAATGTAGTGGGGAGGGAGCTGGTAGAGAGGTAGTGAGACCAAAGACTGCGAGCAAGTGGTTATCTCCCAGGGTGGGGTGAAGGCCAGGGCTAGGCTTTGGGACAGGTGACCACAGCATGGTCCTGGGAATTGTCTGGGGCTTCTTGGAGAAGGGCATCCAAATTTGGCCCTGAAGATGGCAGAGGATATAGACATGAAGAAGGGCCAAGGCTTGCTGAGGTGTGCAGTGTGAGCTGAGACCCATTTTTTGCCTGCAGCATCCTCCTGCCTCTTGAAGGAACTCAGGCCTCTCCCGATGCAGATGGGCTAAGCCTGTGGGCAAAGGGCCAGCCCTCAGGCAGTAGGAGTGGGTCTCTGGCCAGCCTCAGCCAGGCCTCCCAGGCCCATGCCTATCCCTGCTATACTTCATTGAAGGCTCATAAAGTTCTGTTATGTTTCTGTCACTCAGTACATTTAGTGAACCACATTTGTCTGTGAAAACATTTGTTTTAGGCACAAAAGGACCATCCCCATGTTTGTCCCAGAATCAACTTCTAAACTGCAAAAGTTTACAAGGTGAGTCTTGTATCCTACTGCAGTCCCTCCTTCTGATTTAAGTGGAGTGGTGGATGGCTGTCACATTACACTCATTATGTGTCACATAGCCTCATCATGGAGACAGATCCTGCGGAGTCAGCAAGGTACCCACCAGTCATGGAGTCTTACTCTTGAGCCCTTTCTCTATGTCCAATTGAACAGATGGGAAACTGCTCACAACATAATGTAACATTAAAAAGGTAGGAAACAAGAGGAGATAGCAGTCTGAGGAAAAAAAAAAAAACATAAAACAGTAATCCTTATAGTAGGTAACTTTGATCAATTACAAGATGTCTTACCTTGCTCAGCATGCTTTCCATGTTGTAATTTATCCATTCCTCACAACAGGATAAGGTGGGTTCTGTTGCCCTCATTTCCCAGATGGCCCACTGTACCTTTTAATGAACACATAGAAACATTTTTACTTAATAATTAAGCCCTATGATTAGCTTTTACTGATTAGGAGAATGAGGCTCAGAGAACTGGCCAAGGTCGCAAGCTCTAGGAGGAGGTAATATGTGGGCAAACATTAAAACAGTTAAGGGGCCAGCCATGGGAAGATCTTGGAGAAGAACATTGCAGGCATAGAGAACAGCATGTGCAAAGGAGAGAGTGTACTTGGCATGTCAGGAATAGCAAGGAGGCCAGTGCAGCTCAGGTGTGGTAAGCAGGGCATGTTGGGCAGGGAGTCAGAGGAACAGGCAGGAGCAGCAGGCCACAAGGGCTTGTTGTGAATGCTCCAGGGACGGGGGAGTGGAGGAAGATTAAGCTAAAAGCCTGTCACCTCTTAACACATCCAAAGAGATGTTTGGAGGGCCAGCTGGGTTCCATCAGCTCAGCTCTCCAACAGTCCAGACAGAATGGGCCTTGGCTCTCCATCCACAGCCAAGACCAGGGAGAGAGGGCCCTCTAGGGCCAGGCACAGCAGGGCAAGATTTGGGGAGTACAGAAGGAAAGCACTGAGAATAGCCCCACAGAGACCTGAAGCCTGGGAAGGGAGGGACAGCAGTATCCCTACTAGCCTCAGCTCAAGTGTCTGGGATGCCTTTGGCCAGAAGAAACCAGGTGTCCTGGCTAGACTGTCCTGCCCTGTAAGCTGGAAAGGATGACGCTCACCCCCCAGGGCTGTCAGGGAGGCAGTAGGATGATGTGTGCAGAGGATTGGGTTGGGAAAGGGCTCTAGTGGTGTAGTGCCTAAGGCATTTGACTGCTAACCAGAAGGCTTGGAGGTTCAAATCCACCACCACTCCTCAGAAAGAAGATTGGGCAATCTACTTCTGTAGAGATACTGCCTCGAAAACCCAAGGAGGGGTACCTATGAGCTGGACTCGACTCAGTGGTAGTGAGTTTGGTGGGTTTTTGTTTTTTTGTTAGTCTCACCCATTCTGTCTGGAGTTTCCACCTTTGCCCCACATCTCATGGCTCCAAGTAGAGACGTTTGGGCACACATGAGACCTTACTGAGGAAAGGGTTCCGCAGACAGAAAAGTGAGCCCTCACAACATAACAGTGGGATTTGCTTGTGCCTGGTAGACAGCAGTTTGGTGCCAGGGCCCTAGCAAGCCCTTCGAAAGGGATCTTTCTGGACAAAGCATGTGGGTGTGGGTACCACACTGAAAAAAGTCTGATTCAGGAGGACAGTGTAATGGGCACCATCTGCTAAAAAGTGGGAAGTATGTCAAATTGAGCAGCAGAGTCCACACAGCTGCTTCTGTACGATGAGAATCATACTGGAACCTGCATGTCCAAGCTCTTCTCCCCACTCTCTGGCACCCTGAGGGCTTAGTCCTTCTCCCCACACTTCATCTTCAGCAGCTCGCTTTTCTCCACACCCTTCTTCCTTCCAGTCCAGTCCTCAGCCTGACTGGCATGCCCACATCCACTCCTGGCCCCGTATGAGTTTCCTGTGGCCACTGGAATAAACTACCACAGTGTTAATGTCTTATTATCTCACAGTTCTGGAGGCCAGAAGTCCAAAAATCATTATCAGTGGGCCAAAATATGGAATGTGTCAGCAAGACCACATTCCTTCCAAAGGCTCTAGGGGAGACACTTTCCTTGTCTCCTAGCTTCTGGTAGCTACAGGTGGTCCTTGATTTGTAGCCACAACACTTCCATTTCTGCATCTGTCATCACATGGCCACCTCCTGGGTGTACCAAATCTCCCTTTGCCTCCCCCTTATAAAGACACTTGTGATTACACTTAGAGCCTACTTGGGTAATCCAGGATCATCTCCCCATGTCTGGATCCTTAAGCATACCTCCAAAGACCCTTTTTACAAATAAGGTCACATTCAAAGGTTGTAGGGATTAGGACCTGGAGGCCATAATTCAGCCCACTACAGTTCCTCCAGTTTAGTCTTTCCATGGCAAGAAAAACAAGTTAGGCCATGCCCTTCCCCTGCTGCAAGCCATCAGTTCCATCCTGGGTACCTATACTCAGCAGCATTGTTGCCCTCCACTGCCCTTGTGGCCCATGCCCTGCTTGCTGCTTGCCTGCAGTTCTTTAGCACACAGGCTCCTTCCTGCTGCAGGCATATGCTGCTCTCTGCCTGGAGCCCTTCCCGGAAAGTGGTCTTTCACAGCCCAGTCTTCGCAGACTCAAGGAGAATTGGAAATGCTAGTGAAGAGGGTAGCTCCAGGGTTGAGCACTTGGGTCTGCCAGGCTATGTGATTGTTCTGCCAGCCTTAGTCTTCATCTCAGCCCTGCAAGGTGGATGCTGGCAGCTGAAGAGATTGTGGCACAGAGAGGGTATGACCACCCAGGTCACATATAGCTTGTGGAACCAGGGTCTAGCTCCCTTCTGAGATGCACAGCTCCTGGTGGGAACCTAGGCCCCTGTCTCACCCTCTCTCTCCTTAGGAGACTGGGACCCCATGAGAATGCCCCAACAGTGGTCACCACACTGTGTACAGTCCTGAGTTTGGGTTGGGCATGGGCTTCTGGGAGCTCACCTCTCCTCAGCAGAAGCCAGGGCTAGCTCCTCACTTCCCATCTGGATGGTGCTGGCAGAAGAAGTTGTTCAGGCAAGTGAGCAAAGAGCCACCCCAGGCCATGCTAGGTGGGGTGGGATGGTTGAAGAGTGACACTGGGAACCACCTCTGGGATTCTACTGCCTCCCAATCTCTGTCAGACAGGGATGCTTGGCAGCAGGGTGCAAACAAAGTGCACTGTCCTAGGGTCCAGGATGCCTCTGGCCCTGCTCCAATTCCCCCTGGAGCCATCTAGGCTGCCTCTCTTCCGAGGGGAGCCACTGGCCTGCTGGAGGGAGCTTGCTGCTGCTTCTGGGGAGCTGTCCCCACAGTAGGACAGGGTCCAGAGGGGTGCACAGAGGCACCAAAAGGCATTTCCGGGAGCCCAGCAGCCCTTGTGCTGGATGGCACTGTTCACCTCAGAGGCCCTGGCAGCACAAGAACAGCTCTGGGCAGGCAAGGAGGCCACTCTGGGACCAGGCCTACATCTTCCTGACTCACTGGGCTGGGACTGGTGCTTCTGTTTTATTATTATTATTGGCTCAAGTGAGTATACTGAAGGTGTGGCATTACCCTTGGAACAGGCCTTGTCTTCCCAAGCCTGCGTATAGTTGGCCATGCTGGACCCGCCCTGAGCCTCTGTAAGCAGGCACTAAATGAGCCCACCCCCAACTGGCTGGCCTTGGCCCCTAGAGTATGATGGTGACAGGTGATGTGACATAATCATATCTGTGACCACTGATCATGTTTGTGATCACAAGCCAGTCACAGGCAGGGGTATCCAAGGCAAGAATCTTAAGTGGTGAGGCTGGTGCTTTATGTGACAGGTTATAGAGGACCTTCACTTCATAGCCCCATGGGGCAGGCACCATCATTTCCCCATTTCACAGTGAGAAAAACATTGAAGTTCAGAGATGGGAAATGACTTGTCTGGGTCTTACACTATAGAGGCAGAGGTGGGGAGCCCAGAGCCAAACTCAGATCTCCCCCTGCTGACCTGTTAGGATGAACTGCAGTCCAGAAAGTGGCACCCTGCCCCTAGGACCCCCTCCTCTTGTCCTTCTGCCTAAGCTTCAGTCACCTTCAAGGGTTTTGCATCTGGGTTCAGACCAAGCCTGACCCCCTCCCTCAGCATCCAGTGAATCCACAGGGAGGGTATGGTGAGGAAGCTGGAGAAGGGCGAGAGGAGGGCCTAGGAGGAGGATAGGGGGTCTAGGGTTGGTCAAGGGGTAGGGCTGCAGAGGAAGAGTAGTGGGGCTGGAGTGCAGGGCTTTGGTACACCGCAGTCCTGGTAGGATCCCACCAGGCCCCCATTTCTGATTGACCCAGACAAGGGGTGCTACCTCTCTGGTGCCGAGGCTTCCCTTTCAGACTGGCAGAAAAGGTAGGTGTGGGCAAGCTGGGGGCCACAGTGCTGGTTTCTAAGACAGGCCGGGGACCCTGCTCACCCTAGTGTGTCTTGTTTTCCCAGCTGGTTCATGGGACGGCGGCCCGAGTACACAGACCCCAAGGTGGTGGCTCAAGGTGAAGGCAGAGAAGGTAAAGCTTGACACACACACAAACACACATAGGCATGTTGGAGCATGGTCATAGGCTAGATGGTCCCAGGAACAGATGGTGTGTGAATGCCAGGGGTAGGTATCTGGGGGTTAGTGCCAGAACATCCAAACACCCTGGGCGACGTCACAACGAAGCTCCATTTGGTGAGTGTAGACCTGAAAGAAACCCAAGTACCTTGCCCCTTTTTTCTCAGACCGAGACTGGCGGCCCCTCCCCGACTATTGATCCTGCGAGTAACCCTTGACCCTGAGCCCTGGGCACTGCCTCGCAGATAGCGTGCCTGCCATGACAAAGGAATTTCCCCAGGGCATCTTCCAGGTTGGGTACAGAGGGTATGGCATGGTCTTCCCCATCCCCACTGCAGCCCCTTCATCACCCTGAGGGACAGAGGCCAGACACTATTACCCCACCATACAGAAGTGAGTACTGAGGCTGGGAAGTTACCTAAGGCTCCCATGGCCTGGCCTTGCTGACATGCCTCCTTCTCTCACCAGTGACGCGGGTCCGCTCACAGGGCTTCATCACCCTCCTCTTCAATGTGGTCACCAAGGACATGAGAAAACTGGGCTATGACACGGGGCCTGTGGACTCACAGGGCATCTTGGGGCCCTCCTTGCCCTAAAGTGTCCTCTGCTGAGGGCCTCTGCTGCTGCCCCACCTGGCATTGCAGGCCCAGTGGCTTTCTGCCCCTTTCGAGAGAGGACCAGAAGCACAGCTTTGGGGAAAGTGTTTTTATATAATAAAGTGTCATGCCTGCAGCTTGAACCTTGAGCACCTCCCCTGTTAGGAGCAACCAATTCGAGACCCTGCCTCCTTCCACCATTGGTGCTCCCCAGGCCCAGGTTCTCGCCCCCTCACTGACTGGAGGTGCCTGAAGTCCCCCAATGTGAGTGTGCCATCCCCAGGCAAACACTGTGGCATTCATGAGATGGACCCTGCTTAGGGATAAGTGCTGCCTGGGGTCAGACCCTGCTTGGGACAAGTGCTGCCTGGGGGACCATGCACCAGGATGGCAGCTGGGACCAGAAACTATTGATTTTACCTTTTCATCTCTGCAGCCTCTCTCTAGCTTGGGCAGAGGGTCCACTTGGAGGCAGGGGTTGTTGAACAAAGGTACTTCCCTTGGCCCAACACTGTCAGGCCACCATGTTTGGGAACTGCCAGCTTCCTTTGGCAAGATGGTATTAGTGGAGCCATCTTGAGGTGCGTGTGGATGTGGGCTGCAGCCTGCCCTCTGCCTGTTCCTCACATGCAGCTGAGGAGAGGGGCTGGCAGCCTCACAGAGGTGGCAAGCTACTTGCTAGAGCCCCAGCTCTGCCAGCCTCGGCCTGGAGGGTGCAAGCCTGTGCCCCAAGGCCAGGAGATTCTGCTCACAATGTGAGTGTGAGCCTTTGCAGCACACACACACCCTTGTCACTCTGATGGGGGACTCAGCCCCGAGGCTGGGCTTTGTCACACTGCACCCACACACCAACACCAGGCAGCTATTTCCCAGTGCACAGTAGGGCTATTGCTTAGCCACAAAGCCTTCTTCAGTAGACACACTGGGTAACAGTGGGGGCCCCACCTACTCAGTCTCCTCTCAACCTGGACACTATCCTCAGCAGGTATGTTAGACTGGGTTCTCTAGATAAACAAAAACCAGCAAAGCTTTATATATATATAGAGAGAGAGAGAGAGAGAGAGAAATTTGTCTTAGGAAAATGGCTCACAAACATATAGAAGCCAGCAACTCCAAAGTCCCTGGAGCAAACATCAGGCTGGAGGCTTTCCCTAGGTTCTGCAACTGCAGGGGCCGAGAAGCTCAAGGCTGGCAGGCAGTACACCAGCTGTTGACTCCAATGAATGACGAATTCAAGATCACCAGGCCGAATGGTGGACTGCTCACTCACGGACAGTTGTAGGCAGCACAACAGAATCCCGATCCACAGGAGAATGTCTCTCTTCCCAGGATGTCACTGGATATCCTGGAAGCAGACCACACCGCTAGGGAAACTCCCCTTGAACAGACTGGCCACTCAGAACACAGTCATGGGAACAACCACACACAACTGGGGTCCAGCCAAGTTGCCACACAACTCCAACTATCACACTCCACCCCTTGTCAACTTGGCAGTTGTACACATCTTCTTAACCATATATAATCTTTAAATAAAGGCAATTATAGAGTCATATTTGTGCCTAACATGATATGCTAACACACATACAACTAAAATGCATTAACCTTATTTACATTTCACAGTTCATAACAGAAGTAAACAAAAATATTTGATGCACATATACAATGAAGAAATGTAACAATCACAGTCCTTGTTTCTGCAGCTGGTCACATGGTCATAGCTGATATTCAGAACTACCTTCTTCCACCACCCATTCTGTATTTCCCTTGCCCTCAGCAAGCACCTCAGCTGGTCGTGGTTCTTTGCCTGGTGGGGTTACCCAAACCTTCATTCCTGAAGGGTCTGGGCCATTAGCAGTCATAGCAGAATTGGGTTGCTGTAATTTTCCACTGACTTTAATCACAGGGCATGGTAGTACTAAGAGATGTCCTAAAGAATCTCCTGTACTCCAGACATGTTCTTCTTTACCTCCATTATGTAAAGCCAACCCAATTTCCCTTTGGTAATCAGGATCTGTCACACTAGATAATACAGTAATGCCCTTCTTTGTCTGTTGATCCAGAGGCATGAGGAAGCCAAAATGACCAGGTGGCGTTCTTAATTTCCAGTTCAATGCAATCAGTATTGTGTCTCCAGGTGGGAGTGTTCTCTCTTTGGGACCAAGATCTCCAGACCCACAGAGCATAGGGTAGCAGGGACGGGAAGCAAAAATTTTTTGAGTGGGTCACTAGGGGTAATAGTGAGTGATACCACTCCTGTTTCCACCCCTTGGTTCCTGGACCTGTGAATCCTAGCTATTGGAGAAACAGAACCATATATTGGATGCTGGTTTAAAGCATATACAGCCTCTTGGAGAACATTGCCTCAACTCTTCAAGGTTTTGCCACCTAGCTGGTGCCGTCTTTGTGTTTTTAAGAGGCCATTCCATCATTCTATCAAACCAGCTGCTTCAGGATGGTGGGGAACATGGTAAGACCAGTGAATTCCATGAGCATAAGCCCATTGCCGCACTTCATGTGCTGCGAAATGAGTCCCTCGATCCAAAGCAATGCTGTATGGAATACCATGATGGTGGATAAGGCATTCTGTAAGTCCATGCATGGTAGTTTTAGCAGAAACATTGCATGCAGGGAAGATGAATCCATATCCAGAATAATTATCTATTCCAGTAAGAACAAATTGCTGTCTTTTCCATGATGGAAGAGGTCCAATGTAATCAACCTGCCACCAGGTTGCTGGCTGACCACCCCGAGGAATGGTTCCGTATCATGGACTCAGTGTTGGTCTCTGCTGTTGGCAGATTGAGCACTCAGCAGTGGCGGTAGCCAAATCAGCCTTGGTAAGTGGGAGTCCATGTTGCATAACCTCCATCCCTGCCACCATGGCCACTTTGTTCATGAGCCCATTGAGCAATTACAGGAGTAACTGGGGAAAAAGGACAGCTGGTTTCCACCATCCTACTAGCCACTCCTCGGAAGGAAGGTTGGACAATCCTACTTCCCTAGTGATACTGCCTCGGAAACCCAAGGAGGGGTCGCTATGAGTCAGGGCTGACTCGACGGCATGTAACAACAACAACAACAACATCAGGTGGATAGGATAGTGTTATCCTATCCACCTGATGTTAAAATCTACTCTGCTGAGGTCACTTTGGTGGGCATTCACATGAGACACAAATACCTTTACTCCTTTGGCCCATTCAGAGAGATCTATCCACATACCTCTTCCCCATACATCCTTATCACCAATCTTCCAATCATGCACCTTCCAAGTCCCAGACTATCCAGCTAAGCTGTTAGCCACAGCCCATGAATCCGTATATAATCGCACTTCTGGCCATTTCTTGTTCCGTGCAAAGTGAACAGCCATATGCACGGCTCAAAGTTCTGCCCATTGGGAGGATTTCCCTTCACCACTGTCCTTCATGGAAGTCCCAGAAAGGGGCTGCAGTGCCACTGCTGTCCACTTTCGAGCGGTGCCTGCACATCGCGCAGAACCGTCTGTAAACCAGGCATGAGTTTTCTCTTCCTTAGTCAACTGATCATAAGGAACTCCCCATGAGGCCATAGGTGCAGAGTAGGAAAGAGAAGGTAATGTGACTGGAGTGGAAACCAAGTTCCTCATGCAACTTACTTGTGACTTCATGTCCTGCTCGAGCCTGATCTCTTGATATACCACTTCCATTTAATGATGGAGTGCTGCTGTGCATGTCCAACTTTATGATTCTATGGGTCAGACAACACCCAGTTCATGACGGGCAGCTCAGGCCTCATGGTGACTTGGTGGCCCATGGTTAGGCATTCAGTCTCTACTAAAGCCCAGTAACAAGCCAAAAGCTGTTTCTCAAAAGGAGAGTAGTTATCTGCAGAGGATGGTAGGGCTTTGCTCCAAAAAACCC